TTTTTTTTTTTTTTTTTTTTTTTGGTACCTGGGATAGAACTCAGGACCTTGTACTTGCAAAGCAGGCAGTAGAACCACTCAGCTAAATCCCCTGCCCCTAGATTTCCAATGTTTTAGTTGGCTTAATTAATGTCGTCTTCTTCCAAATAGGAGAAAAGATTTTTGACGGCTCAATTACAGGAAATAGAGAGCCAGAGTTTGAATCTTTTCCAAAGGAGAGATGAAATTGATGAATTAGAAGGGTTCCAGCAACAGGAGCTAAGTAAAGTAAAGCACATGGTATGCTTTTTGTTTTAGATGCAAAATACCTACTAATATGTACTGAGTAACAAACAATGATAATTTGCCCTCAGTTTGGCTAGTCATCCCTCTCTAACTGCTGATAAGTAGACTTACAGTGTTTGACACTAATCAAATTTAAATATTTTAAAATTTACTGAAATAGAAAATTTCTATTTGAAATATATTTTTTTTTCCCATTTGGTTGTTTTATATAAAGTGTATAAGTCTTCCTCTGGGCTTGTAAGTTTTGTTTTGAATAAATGACAGAATCATAAACTGATAAATACAGTAAATACAGCTCATGGTATCTTTTTTTTTTTTTTTTTTTTTTTTTTTTTTTTTTTTTTACTGGGGATCGACCCCAAGACCTTGCACTTTTGAGGCAGGCGGCAGCACCACTGAGCTAAATCCTCAGCCCATTAAGCTCATGGTAGTGTGCCTGTCTAACATGCATGAGTCTCTGAGTTCAATCCCTAGCACCACCAAAAAAGAAGAAGAAGAAGAGAGTTTTGCATGTGCCCACGCTGCCCTTGAATTCATGATCCTCCTATCTCAGCCTTCTAAATAGCTGGTGCTATAGGCACATGCTACTGCACTCAGTTAAGCCCCTTCTAGTGCCACAAGCATGTTATAAATTTTTTGGTTACTTTTTAAAAGTATATTTCTTGAGCTGGGTATGGTGGTCATACTTGTAATCCTAGCTCTTGTGAGGCTGAAACAAGAGGATTGCTTCAAATTCAGAGCCAGCCTGGGCCATATAGAGAGTTCAAGATCAGCCTGAACTACATGGTGAAACTTGTCTCAAAAATAAATAAATAAAAAGTATATTTCTTAAGAAAGCAGAAGCCTAATGCAACTTTATGTCTTTGAATCAGCTTTTAAAAAAAGAAGACAGTCTGGGGAAAATACAGCAAGAGTTGGAGGCACAGACCAAAGAATTTAGTCGAACCCAGGAGGAACTGATAACCTCTAATCAGATGTCATCAGACTTAAGGCAGAAGCTAGAAGAATTGCAGAGACACTACTCAGCGCTGGAAGAGCAGAGGTTCTTGCTTGGTCTGTGGGGCCAGTGGGAAGAGGTGTTAGTGTAGCTCTGACTGTAGCCTGCCCACCTTTCCCCACCGCTCACTGAGATACTTTGTGATCTGGCAAAGGCCACCAGACTTGCCCTTACCTGCCTAGAACTCAGGCTCTTCACCCCATCCCACCACAGAGCCTTTCTCCCCTCACCTGCCTCAGCTCTCATCTATTCCTGATGAGCAGTTCAATATGGTTTTATTATTAACATTATTGTATAAGCAAAGGCAAATCAGGATTTCTTGCTTAAACCTGAGTTGACTTCTCTTCGGGGTTCTGCTTTAGGGAGACCCAACAAGTGCTTTCTATCAGTAACCTTTCATGTGGTTAACAATGTTTGCAGTACTCACATACCAGGAAACCATCTGTATTTTTCCTTTGGAGAGTGTGTTGTAGATGAATTATCCAAATTTGTTCCTTGTCTGCTTTCTTTTGATGAAGAGATTATGTGACAGCTGCCAAAGCAGATGCAGAAAATAAGATCACAGCCCTAGAGCAAAAGGAACAAGAGCTCCAAGCATTCATTCAGCAACTTTCCATTGATTTGCAAAAGGTATGTAGTATACAAGTAGTGTACAAGTTACCGTACCAAAAGGTAAGTAGTGTACAAGTACATGAATAGGGATTCCAAGCTAATCCCATCAGAAATTTCATCCTTGAGGTGACTGCTGAAACCTGTGTTTCTCATCCAGGCCTCTCTTCCCTACCTCTAGTTCTAGCCAAGCTACACTTAGGTGAAAGAACTTTCCAGCTGAGAAGGGTTGCCTAACAAGAGGTCAGCAATGTCTGGCAGTACTTCTCAGACCGCACCATTTTGGTCTGCTCAGATGCAACTTAAACCACTGCAACAGTTTCCCTGAGAGTACTTAGGCAGTGAGTTTGCTTATATATTGACTATCTCAAGCATTGCGCAGGCAGGTGTTGTTTCAACCAGTTAATTTCTTGTTTTGAATAAATTTGATAAAAATTGTAGTTTTTATGTTTCCTGTCATATTATCTTATAAAAATTAATGAAAAAAACCTGCAATTTTTGGTCATCCTGTATTTAAATAATTGGACTGGTAAGTGGTTAAAATACCACATGGTGAGCAGCAATTGTGGTTGATGTGACCAGGGTTGTAGCTTTGACAAACGTGGCTCTAATGTAGCTCATTCTATAGCACATAATCAAATGATATCATTATAATTTGTGTTTTCATTTGGTCAGCATAGATTTATTGTTCTTCCCCTCAAGGCCTGAGCTAGATTCTGAGAATATAAAGATAAATGTAATTATTGAGTAGAAAGTGATATTTCTCAATGACATGTTTCTTACTGGCATTTTAAGGAAACAATTTGTATTGTATGATTAGCCCTTACATGATAAGACATTTAGCTTTCCCGGCATCTAGATTCTAAATGCCAGCAATGTCCTTGGGTCATTGACAGTCCAGTCCTTCTCAGGTGATAAACTGTCCTCTATCAGATGCTACCACCCACTTCCACTTACTGAGAAGCATTTATCTCAAATGAGGCAGAAACTTAACAGCATATTATAGTTCAGTAAGATTTATGTAAAGTTTATAGCCCTGTCTAGCTAAGTTTTGCCATATTTAGAGATACCTAAATGGAAATGATTATATTTCTTGTTCATATTTATACAGTAAGTGATTGAGCTAGATTCTAACCCATCTCTTTTTGGTGTTGCTGGGGATGGATCCTGGGGCCTCCAGCTGTGCTCACCAAGTACTCTACCTCTGAGCTATGTCTATAGCCCCCTAACCTAAGTCTTACTTGCCCTTCTGTTACCTCACAATAAGAAGCACCTGATAAATACATCTTACATAAACAACTGTGATACAAGGTCTCTACCCACAATGAACTTAAAGTCTAGACACATATTATTCTTCCTCAGAGGTGTACAGTTTGATTATAGACATCAAAATGCCTATACCTACAAGATAAAAAGTTCATGCTGGCCTGGGATTTAGCTCAATGGTTCTGCCACCTGCCCCACAAGCACAAGGTCCTGAGTTCGATCTCAGGTACAAAAAAAAAACCATGAACTCAAGTCATAAATAAGTAAACTGTGCAAAAGACATGCTGTGGGAGGAGTAAATTCCCAACCTATTGGTCCAAGACTTACTGGAGGAAGTGGAGTGTCAGGGATAAGTCAGACAGCAGGAGGCAGAGAAGGGAGAACAAGAGTCCACCTGAAGCTGTGGACCAGGGACACCATAGATTTATAATTTTGGGACTCAGGGGACCCTTTGATAGCAATACCATCCATCCTTGGAGAACTGCCCATCCTTTTTATAATTGGAAAAAAAAGGCTCAAGAAAGTCTAGACTGGTCACAGAAAGGCCCCTCATTATTGAGCCTTACTGTGTGATAAGTTCTGTACTGGGTGTTAGAATTTCTAACTGAACAGTACTGCCCTGCCCTCTTTCAGAGCTTATAGTCTAAATGGGAAGTCAGGCTTTAATCAGTATGTGTACACACACACACACACGCACGCACACACGCACGCACACACACACAGTTGCTAGCTCACTTTGAGCACTCTGAAGGAAAACTAGGTGATTTAGGATTCTATGACAGGAGTCATATCAGACCTAATCTTGGAGTCACAGAATGCTTCCCTTCAGGAGGTAACACTGCTGTGCATGGAGGGCAAGGGTGATGGGAGAGAATTTCAATCAGGGAACAGCATGAATAAAAACCCTGAGGCAGGGCCGGGGATTTAGCTTAGCGGTTTGGTGGCCTGCCTTGCAAGCGCAAGGACCACAGTTCAATCCCCCATACCAAAAAAGAAAAAAAAATACCCTGTGGCAAATAAAAGAACTAGCACATTCAGGGAACTGGACGAAGGCCAGAAGGGTGCTGTGCAGAATGAGGGAGAAGAAAGAATGACTTTTGCTGTCAGGAGCAGACACAGTGAAAGGGCCTTCCACTTAGAACATTGTTTCAGTTGTCCAATCAGATTTAGAAAATATCGAGATTGATGAACTTGATAATGCAATAGATGAGGGAGGAGGAGAGCAAAAGAAAAGGAAGGGTTAGGGATTTCCAAGTCTCTGGCTGGAGCAACTGAGTAGCAGGTATTGCCAATCATTAGGCTCGTTAACTACAGAAGGAGCAGTATTAGTGTAAAGATCATGAGTTTGGAATTATCTTTTGTTATTGTTGTCCCTCTTAATACCGAGTAACATTATAAATAAAATAACAAAATATTAGTAAGGTGGACAGTGTAACAATACAATGAATCTCCTTATATCTTACTCCCCCAAGTTAAGAAAAAGAAAGATGGGCCAGGGATTTATCTCAGTGGTTCCACCACCTGCCTTGCAAGCACAGGGACCTAAGTTCGATCCCCAGTATCGAAAAGTAAAGAAAAAGAATGTTGCTTATCTTTGAGGCTTCCTCTGTGTCCTTCCTGATTCTATTTCCATTCCTTATTCCTCCAGAAGTAAGCACTATCCAGAAATTACCATATGTTATTCCTAAACAATTTTTTCTTTTTCTTTTTGTTTTTTTTTTGAGACAGGGTCTCACTTTAGTTGAGTTTCTATTTCCATTCCTTATTCCTCCAGAAGTAAGCACTATCCAGAAATTACCATATGTTATTCCTAAACAATTTTTTCTTTTTCTTTTTGTTTTTTTTTTGAGACAGGGTCTCACTGTGTAGTTGAGACTGACCTGGAACTCACTATGTAGCCCAGGCTGGTCTCAAACTCAGAATGATCCTCCTGCCTTAGTCTCCCGAGTTCTGAGATTATAAGGCATGCGCCACCATGCCTGGCTAATATTTTCTTTCTTATGCTTACTGATGTGTAAATGAAATCATATTACTGGTACTATATTCCAAAAATTTATTCACTTATTTTCAATACTATCTTTCTGAAAAACATTACATGATAATGACAACTATAATATATTCTTTTCTCAACTATATAGTATGGACATACCAACATTTATTTATCCATTCTGACAATAGACACTAGAATTGTGCCTGGTCTATACTATTATTAACAAGATTGCCATGAAACTTGGTCCTATTGTGCGAAACAGTTTACTCCAGAGTGCATATGAGGCATGAAAAGCAAGTGTCAAGCTGGTTGTAGTGGTGCACACCTATAATCCCAGCATTTTGGAGGCTGGGACAGAAGGGTCACCATGAGATTGAGGCCAACTGGACTGCATAGTGAGCTCAAGGCCAGTCTGACCTGCATAGTGACCCTGTCTCAAAAAAAAAGCAAGGATCTTGTGATAAGTACATTGGCAACTTTAGTACATAATGCTGAGGTTTATTTTCCCATAGTAGTTGTTAATTATTTATATATTCCTATCGGTAGTTTTTCTTCCTGTTAAGGTGTGAAATTGTCAAGACTTTAATTTTTTTTAAGTTTTGTGACTATGAAATACCTCACCATGCATGAAATTTGCTTTTCTCAAATTACTAGTGAGGCTGAGCATCTTTTATGTTTATTTGTTCATTCACACTCTTCTGTGAAGTGCTGCTTAAATATTTTGGCCATTTTTCTGTTGTGTTTTCTTTTTCTCATTGCAGGAATTCTGTCTGTTCATTTTGTTGTACTGGGGATTGAACCCAGGGCCCTTGTACTGACTACCATCCAGTCAATTTTTAATTTTTCGTTTTATTACACTGGGGGCAGGCAGTAGCTTGCCAAGTCCCTAACTTGCCCAGGCTAAGCTTTGTGTATAGTTCTGTGTGAAGTCCCTTGGTTAAATCCCATGTACAAAAGGAAAAAAGCAAAAAAAGTGATCAGTGCTTAAACTGATGTACTGATTCAGTGCTATTCCAATCAATATCCCAACAGAATGTTTTGGAGGAGTTTGATATCTTTATGCGGAAGAGCAGTGAGCCAAAAATAATCAAGATACCCCTCAAAAAAAGCACTAAGAGGGGAGATCTATTTTTACTGATACCAGGATTTGTGATACTTCTGCCTCTATATCCCAGAGTGCTGGGATTATGTGGGGGGGGGGTTCTACATGCCCAGATAGGAGTTCTTTATTTAGATCATGACCACCATGATTCTTTGTGAGGTGTCTGGGTTGCATACATCTTGTTCTGGTCTTTGACGTGTCTTTGTACCCTTGGTGATATTTTCATATACTCTTTATTTCAATGTGTGTACTGAACTTTGTATTTTCTTTTAAGTTTGCACTTTGGTTTTTTTAAAGACATGTTTCTTTATCCAGGATCACAGTGCTATTTTCCCATGTTATCTAAAAGTTTTATAGTTTTGCCTTTTACATCCAAGGCTTCAATATGCCAGAAGTGTGATTTTGATGTGAGAACAGGATCTACATTCAAGTTTTTGTGTACCTGGGATACTCCTGGGTGTTGGCAGGTATGCCACTGGGGTGTTTGCACAAACACTAAACAGTACCTTTCCAGCTATAGTAATAGGTAAGTCCTAGTGTCACTGATCATTTTTTTTCTTTTTTTCCTTGAGTACAGGGGATTTAACCTAGGGTCTTCACACAGAGCTACATCCCCTTCCCTTTTAAAGGATCTCACTAAGTCACCTAAGCTGGTCTTGAACT